TGTCTTTTTTCGGTGGACAACGTTAATGACATTGACTGTATACTGTTTCTTTGTTTGTAGCACCTCCATTTCTAACAGCCACGCCAATCAACACAACTGTAGACGAGGGTAAAGCTGCCGTCCTACGATGTTCTTCATCAATAGATAGATCACACCCTATACAGGTCCAATGGTTTAAAAATGGATCCCCATTGGCACCTGACCCAGACATACGTTACCATGTGGCTTTTACTGGTCACCTGATTTTTTCTCTAACACGATACAGTGATCGGGGCCTTTATAAATGTGTTGCTCAAAACAAAGGTGGCAAAGTTAGTGCTACAGCCCACCTTAAAGTGAGAGGGTCTGTCAAACTAAAAGGTAAGTAAAAATGGGAATGGATGTTCTAAAAAAAAAAAAAAAAAAAACGAACAACCTTGATATTACGGTCAAGTTTGAAAGGCTTTGCACCATCACGTGACGGCAGCCATGTTAGATGGCAGAAATAATACAATCGTTTTTACATAAGAAAGAATTCAATTCCCAAGAGCAAAGGGATTTTATTGTTCTGCCATCTAATCACAGGCAGCCCAAGCTGTATTATTGGCGCCTACACGTGCTGCAAAGCCTCTATACCTTAATTGGTTTTCTGATTTTTCTTCCCATTCTTCTTCTTATATTAGTAGAATGTGGTCGGCCTGGATTCAACACACGTGCACGTATCATAGGAGGCCGTCGAGCAGATCGAGGTGCTCACCCATGGCAAGTCATGCTGTGGAATAAGTTAGACAAGAGACACTTTTGTGGAGGAACACTCATTACAGATCGATGGCTGGTAACTGCTGCACACTGTGTACATGCCAGTAAGTACAAAGCCGCATGCAAAATTACTACAGTTAGGAGAAAAGGTGGTTTGGGATAATAATAATAATATAATAATATCTTTTTATTCAAACCCATTGCAGTTTAAAAAACTGAAGTACAGGTTGATCATGCGCTTATAAGTCAATCAGTCAAGCATTCAATCAACCAACCAATCAATCAATCAATCGATCGATCAATCAATCAATATATAAATAAATAACTCATTGACATATAATCCAATATAAAGCAAATGCCAATATTGATAGGGTTAACAGCAGAGATATTGGAATTTAACTGTAACAAAGTTTTTAAAACAATCAAGATTAACCATGCATGCTTGATAACAAGCAGCTGTTCTACGGTCCAACGATGCAGGAAGGCCCGATTTAACCAATGGTTCACGATAGGACGAATCTGGAAAAACAATAGCAACTGCGCGTTTGGATTGAATATCATTGACAATGAATTGCATCACTGACATTGAATTCCTAGGGATATTAAATTATAGCACACTAAGATCATCAACAAGCTTAATGCGCGGTTCCCATGACGAACACAAGGTCATTAACCATGACGGCAAACAGGACAGGACTCAATCTTGTACCCTGAGTAATACGACCTCTCAGAGACTTTGATCCCGAGCATACCGATGTAAGGCGCACAATTGGGTTCTGCCTCGCAAAAACACAGCTATCCAACGTAAAAAAGCAGGGATGAGCATAGCCTCCCCACTTTTTCCCATACTATATTTCTCATATTTTCCAATTAAACCCACCCCCCACTTTCCCCCCATATTAGTCTCATATATTTTCCAATCTTAGGTCACCCTCCCCCACAAGGTGCTCCTTGGCATCTGAATTAGAACGCAGTTTACTTGCTTTTTGTTATTGGTTAATCTACATTAATTAATRAATTCAGTTTAATCTTCTTGTCGTCCATGATGTCTTACAGAACTCTTATTCCCGTCAAATATCAAGATTCGTTTGGGTAAACATGTACGCACCAGAACTGAACGTAATGAACAGTCAATGAATGCAGACATGATCAAAATTCATCCCAACTACAACGCCATGGATCGCACGTATGATTCGGATATTGCTTTAGTCCGAACTTCGAAGAAAGTTATCTTTACCGACTATATTCAGCCTATTTGTCTTCCGACGAAAGAGCAAGACTTTCAGCTCATGAGAGTTAATACTTCAGGAGTGATTAGTGGCTGGGGAAGCAGGAAAGTATTCAGGGATTCAGCTCGTAGGCTATACGAAGCTGGCGTACCAATCGTGAGCACATCTGCATGTAAAGCGTCTCATCCAGCTTACATCATTACACCCAACATGTTCTGTGCTGGGCAGAAAAATAGTTCTCTTGGTGACGCATGCCAAGGAGATTCAGGAGGTCCGTTTTCTGTAAACAGCCCGCTTCCTTCTAAACGAAATGTCAAAAGACACGTACTTCTCGGCGTGATTTCATGGGGAGATGGGTGCGGTCACTATGGAAAATATGGCGTGTACACACGGGTAACGAATTTTGTAGATTGGATTATGAATGAAATAGACTAGTACCAAAAACTAACGATATAATCTAGGCAATAACACGGCTAATAAAGAATGTCACGAGTCTTTTGTAACAAAAGGACAAATAAAAACCAATAGCTTTGCATTGCATTACTTTAACATTACTAGACGACCAATTAGCCATTCCGAGGATGAAGATAAAACTTGGTTGAGTTGGCATTGCAGTGCACTTCAAGGCTGAAAAAAATATTGAGGACGAAATAGAGTGCAAACAATATAACTTAAAAAAGTCTCAAAGTGCTCTTGAATACCAACTCAATCCAGTTGTGGGTCACTTTGCATAAATACAATAGCTTGTTATCCTCCACTGCACTTAGACTATTGTGATACTGTAAACTGATCTTCAAATTCGATGCAAATGAGCCAAACTGTAATGSTTCAGTTTATGGGTCATAAGAAACCAGTGAACAGAATCAGGGGCATAGCTGGGTCTTGTTCATAGGGGTAGAGATAATGTAACAGGTGGGGTGGGGGGCAGAAGAGGGATCCCCTCACTTTGTCCCTGAATAGAATAGATTTCATCTTAATAGTTTTGCAAATCTTGAAACTTCAAGTAATTTAAATTTGTAATTCTTTTATRAAAGAAATAAAGAACTTCACATGACAATGGGTTTCTTTATCGGTTTGACAAGCACAGCTGCTAAAATGCCACCCACAACAATGTTTTCCAATGCATGCGCAGTGGTAATAATAGATTATGGGTGTGTCATGGAATAATGATTATCCATTGACAATCAATCTTTGAAGCCTCGGTTAACTGGCACCTCATCTACTGAAAAGATATCTATTCAATCAAATATTGTTCTTTTACATAGTCTTTTTATTGAGAAACCATACAACACATGCTTCTTTTTCAGTTACAAAAGTTAGAGATTCGTCATTATCAAAATTTTATCCTTTTATTTTTTATTTCTGCAACAATTGCTATTTGCTTGACACACCCTTTTATAAAGTGATTGGTGTTTTTTTCCTTTGCAACAAGGGTTTTGGTGCAAAGAAAAACAAATCATCTTTGATGTTTAGCACTAGAGCGGATGCAATTAAACCGTGAAATAAAATCAAACTAAATACTAACTAATAGTATCTATTTAGTGACTAATGGTCACTATCACTCAACCAGAACATTTATCAAACAAAAGACACAAATGGTCTCTTGTGTATCTGTCTTTGTATGATGAATGTTCTGGTTGAGTGAAAGCAACTATTAGTCACTAAATAGATATAATATTAGTTAGTATTTAGCTTGATTTTTTCACTGTTTAATTGCATCTGCTCTACAATTCACAAAAAAGAGTGAAAAGTTGCAGAATAGTATTTAACTATATGATATCATTCGATATGTTTTGGAATCTAAGAGACAATATTATCTAAATCAATGGTTTATATCCATAGAAGTGAATACATCCTTTCGTAATCTTGTTGATGGCATCAATCCGAAGCAGAGATTTTCAGGATGATGCCTTTTCCGCAGCTATTGCTGTGTGGACAAAAACAATAAAATTATAAGAATAAATAGGATTTAAATGTTGTGAGAAGGGATGCTCATGTAATCCAACTTACTTTTAGCATCAGGAAGAGGGTTCTTTTCCTCTGTTTCAACATGTTTGAGTTTTGATTGGTCAAAAGTCTTAACTTCAGCACGTGTCTCAACTGCCTCAGTCTTAATGTCTGCAATCAAAATGGAATAAAGTGCAATCAAAATGGATTAAGTGATTTTCAGGGTATCCAACTAGGAGAGCAGTATTATATTACATTAATTAAAAAGGTGTAGTTGTCAATCCCATACAAGTTTGAAAATGGTCTAAAAATATCCTTTTGCTGGGCTTAGTAACTAAAGAGATTGAATCTAATTTAGTAGAATAGTTTGAATTTTGAAACAAGCTTGGCATATTGTGAACTGTTTCAATAAAGCAAAAGTAGGAGAAAAAGTAAGAAAACAGCAAAGGATTTGCCATCTGTTTTCAAAAGAAAAAAAAGAGATCAACCCCCTCTGGTTGTTTATTGATAATGGAGGTTCACTGTTGAAAATAATCCCGTGAGAGTTAATCAAGGGGCTTACTGCAAAGTTTTTTGCATCTAAGATGGAGGACAGTAATAGATAACAATTTTAATTTCAACTCCTTACCATCCTTAGAGGGAATAACGTTTTTCTCAGTAGTTTGAACATGTTTTAGTTTACTTTGGTCAAATGATGCCACCTCAGATCTGTCAGGAAGAGTTTCTGGCATCATTTCTTGGCGAAGAGCTGCAGAATAAACAATCATTCAGAATCATTAGATTAAGAGAAAAATGAATATTGATCATTTAYATTTCTCAGTTTGTTCCTCCAGCCTGTAATCAAGGCAATGTATGCGACTCCCTCCAGCCTGTAATGAAGGCAATGTATGCGATTTCATTCCGTCCAAAAAAAAAAACTATAGCTCAATCCAGTCTCCTCAACTTGAAATCAGGCAATGAAAAAAAGTTAAACTTACTTCCTGCTGAGGGTAAAGGGTTTTTCTCCAAAGTTTCCACATGCTTCAGTTTTGAATGATCAAAGCTTTTGACTTCAGCCCTTGAATCGATAGCTTCCTCATTGATATCTGATAATTAAAAAGAAAAATGAATAAATAAATAAATAAATAAATAAATAAATAGAAAAAACCAGTCAAAAGCACTCAAGATAATAATTATTCATGACATTGGTTATCTATTTCAAACTTTGCTTCATGCGACTAGGTGGTGGAATATTAAATAGATAAATGTAATAAATAATTTAGCCACTTGTATCTAAGAAACATGACCCATCATGTAAGTGTATCATGTCTTATGTCCACACCTATTTGTCAAGGGGTGTTATTGACAACCAGACCAGTTAGCACCTACCATTCTTAGAAGGAAGAACAACTTTTTCTTGTGTAGTAACATGCTTTAGTTTTGATTGGTCAAATCCTGCAACCTCTGAACGATCTGGTTTCTTTGCAGGCATCATTTCTGCTCTTAGCACTAAAAGTGAATTTTAATGAATGAATAAAAAGAAAAATAAACCTTTATATATTTTTGATGCAGTTGTCTACTTACTTTGTGGAGTAGGAAGAGGATTTTTCTCTTCGGTCTCAACATGTTTGAGCTKGGAATGGTCAAAAGACTTTACTTCAGCTCTTGAATCCACGGCTTCCTCCTTGATTACTGCATTGATCAGCATATTGAAAAAGAATTAATGTGCATATCGCAGATAAGTATGCTGTTGTTACTTCCTCTAATATTACCTTCTTTTGATGGCATAACAACTTTCTCTTGTGTTTCGACATGCTTCAGTTTGGTGGAATCAAACTGGGTAACTCCAGACATGTCAGGCTTAACATCAGGCATCATTTCTGCACGGATATCTAGATAAAAACATGCAGTACCATCGTGGTTACGTAGAATCAAATATATGGTATCCTCTTAAGCATAGATTATCGAGACATTAATTCCCAGTTATGCAAAATATCAGGAACAGGAAATATAGTTATCAAACTCATTTCCATTCAAGAGGAAAACACAATGTGTAGTTCCAGAAATCATCCATACCCACCCCACAGAGGARTTTGGAGTTTCCRAAGAGTAGGGGGTCAGAGAAATAATGAAAATTACAGAGTTTGTATGGAAGAAAATTGGAATTTCTGGGGGGTAGGGGGGTGTATTAAAAAATTCCTCTGTGAGAGGGTATGGATAATTTTTGGAACTATGCAATAGAAATCATGGCTTAGGAGGAGTTTGTGAATACAGAATTGACCTGATTATGCATGAATTTTAACTTGGATTTTTTTCTGCTAAGTAATATATACGATATGAGTGGGCAATCTTTGTAGGCTTTACAACACTTGCCTACAGCTCATGTTTGTAAATGCCCATACAGATCCGCCACTCATATTGTATGTGTTACTTTAATAATACGGTTTGTTATCTAGGACAATCTATTAAGGCTCACTCCAACTTAACATTTCCACAAGGAAATAAACTTGTCTTAAATTTACACATGCATGAAGGGGGAGGAGCACAATAATAAGGAATCCTATACAAGTAGATAAATGTCACTATCCACCTTTTTATTGAAAAATTAGTATTAAAAATTATTAATATTATTTGAAATAAAAAATTATTAATTATTTGAGACAAAAAATTATAATAAAATGTATTAAATTTACATGAAAGATTAAACGACATACACAACCTAATATAAATTATGCAAGTTGAAATGCTCAAATGAATAAAAAGGGTAAAAGCTTTGTATTRTGATATTAATAGCAGTGTTTTATGGAAAGTGAGTGTACGTATGAAAACCATTGAACATGCAGTTTTACATGTAGTAACTAGCATCAGTAAGGATGGACGACGTAGTGCGAATACAATCATTTCCGATTGCGTAGTGCGAATACAAATCGAACTCTAACAAAACATAATCAAACTAACTACATTATTTTTATGCTTTTTAAACCAAAGAAAGTTTAAAGCCATCGATAACTGGTGTAATGTATAAATATTGATATTTCGTCATGGCGTTCGAATACAAGCCAAGGTGCAGCACGATGTTTTGGTAAAAAAATCCCTTTTTGAAAGGACCGTATTAAAAAAAGTTACGTTCAACTTACTTTGAACATCGGGCAGCGGGTTTTTCACTTCTGTTTCGACATGCTTAAGTTTGCCTTTCTGGAAAACCTCGACTTCTGAGAAAGGTGCAGTACGTTTTTCATCCTTGATGGCTGAAAACAGAAAGAAAGTTGACACGCGTGACTCAGCTCGCCATGCCCAAAGAATATAATGAAGCAAAAGATAAAAGAACGCCATAACCTTTGTCGTAATAGTTTCTATTCGGCGAACAATCAAGTAGATAGCATTAAAMTTTTATAAAATGTGGTTAACAATTCATTTTAGGCCGCTATTACTTACTGTCAGAGGTAGGAAGGGGATTCTTTTCCTGTAGATCGACATGCTTCAACTTAGAAGCGTCAAAATTTTTCACCTCTGATCGGTCAGGAAACTCATCAGGTTGAAGCTCTTGCTTGATCGCTTTTATTTAAAGCAAATAATTCGTTATGGCATGATAAGAACATGTGCTTCGATAACTGAGGGCACATTATTATTCAAGATGGCTCCAGTGTAGTTCTAGTTTTCAATTTCAAGTTAACAAAGTCGCTACACGAAAACCTAAACATTTTGAAAATAGACCAAAAAACATCGAAGAAAATTAATATCATACCTCAAGACAACTAGAGTGAGATTCAAACCCTTACTGAAAGGTTTTAAAAGTTTGTGCAAGAAGTTTCGTGATGATTTTGAGTGTACTCTCTTCCATCCCCCAACCCTAAAACTTCAAGGCCACAAAACTTACTTTCATCAGATGGCAAAGTATTTTTTTCATTCGTTACTACATGCTTCAGCTTTCCTGCATCGAACTTGCTAACTTCAGAAACATCAGGCTTAATTTCTGCCATTTCAAAATTCTTTTCGCCGTAAGAGTCCAAATTATATCCTTGTGATGGGTGAAACCAAATACGAATGATCGAAGAAGTTTTCATATGACTTGCAAACCCGCCCCCAAAAAAGGTTGGGTTTGAACCATATAAGGAAAGGTCTCCTGACAAGAATTTGAAATATACCACCTTTTATTTATTCTATGAAAGGAATATAACGTAGTTAAACACCTTTCACTTTAGATAGCTACTAAGGAATTGAATAACCGCGAAAAAGTGAGGAAATTAAAACGTGCTTCTTACRGCATCCTTACGCAAAGGTGTCATTAGATGTTTTATCAGAATATTTTAGGGTTTAAGTCGTCAAGGGTGTGACGTGACGTGACGTGACGTTCTATTTTTGAAGCGAGTTTCACTCTTAAGCAGAAATCTTGCCAACGAAGCTAAAAACGCAAAACAAACCAACTTTACCTGATGTCAAATATGTGTAAAAAACTCATTGGCCTAGCTTGCCCAGGYAATCGATAGAAGCGAAAAAAGTCTTGCGCGCAATTTATCATTCGGGAGTGGACTTTTGTCCCGAGGCGACACTCATTTATAATTCAGGTCACGGTTATTAGTGTCCGAAATGTAATACCAGCAGATTTGACTTAACACGGAATGGAATCTGTGAGGAATAAGTTATTATGSTTTAGTGATGGAAAGAAGTTTGAAACAAAAAGTAGATATACATCAATTAATTCTCTACATGTAGTTAGTATATTGTTTCAGATGGAATACACTAAAAAGAGAATAAATAAKTATCAGTCCTAACTTAGACAGTGTCACTATGACCCACAATGCACTTCAGTATTGAAAAGCACTATTAAAATAACTGTATACATCTTTCAACTATTTTTCAGTTTTCCATGCACCTAGAGCATTTCTGGATATGGCCAGGGGCTATGGGGTTTTGGGAGAGTAGAAGGGGCACCCAAATGAGTGTTTGCTGAAAGTCTTTAGTTTGGGTTATAAGTTATATAGTAGAAAATGCCAAATGAAAAAAATATTTCATTGTATTGCATAACTGAATATATGTTGTGTTGAGTATTGGGGAGGGGGGTGGGGTGGGACATTTTGTTCAATAGACAGTGGTAGAAATCTGCCATCAAACTATTTGATTTATTGCACACACTTTTTGTAAGATTGCAATTGATGCACATGCTCATAGTTTTGATGTTTATCTTATACCATTATGTTACCCTGAAGATGACCATGTACCAGGGCTGTCAACCCCCCCGACATATTCAAATCTGGATAATTGATAGGGAAGGGACATGACGTCACAGCGCGTCAAAAAGCGCGCGAAAAGACGTCTTTTCGCTTTGTAACATTTGATGTGATTGGTTTATTTCTGCCCAATCAGATTATCGCTTATATTACAATGACCTGCTTGCAAGAACAGTTTATGAGGAACATTTTGATTTTGTTAGCGATTTAAAATAACACAAAATAATTGGAATTTTATGGTTGTGAAAGTCGAGTCTCACAAGAAATGGTCAGCTTCGGCGATTATCTGGGAGATTTGAGACTCTAATCTGGAGACCGGGAGATACGGTCCAAAATCTGGAGACTCCCAGTATATCCGGGAGAGTTGACAGCCCTGATGTACTGTAGGTCCAAGCTCAGTAAATTAAAGAAACTATTTAACTAAGCCTGATGAAACAAATATAATCAAATGAAAATAAAATTGGCCAAGTGCAACTAGTACTAGTGGTAAAGATGAGAATCTTAAAGTGCAAATGAACCCTTTGACAATACATTCAGTACTGGTTCTGCATAAAGTAAATAGTTGATTGGTA